TTACCTCAACTTTGGAGTCGAATTTCTCGGTGAGAAGAAAAAGATATCAAAAAAACAAATAGTAACTTTGTGCCCACACTCAAGCTTAGTAGAAGGAACTATGTTCGAGGATTTTAGTTATATAATTGTAGAAGAAACTACATTTGGCGTGAAGCCATGGCCATGGCAACGGTTTTACTGCCCAATAAAGTGACAGTAGGACCTGTATACTAGTACCAAGTTTAAAAAAATCTGCCCAGCCACAAAAATAACAGAAGAGTTAAAATGCTGTTCCTGGTGAAGAGTTATCCTAACATTTAGGTCTAATTTTTCGGTAATGAAAAAGATATCAAAAAAACAAATGAGCTATACCCGAGATTTTAAGTCTTAAATTTGTAGGAGAAGATACATTTGGCGTGAAGGTATCAGTTTTTTTGCTGTTTCTATGGCAACGATTGGACATGTTTTTTCTCCAGATTTTACCACTTAACTAGAGTGAAGGTGTAATCTGCCTGCCAAGTTTGAGCGAAATCGGCCTAGCCAGAAAAATCACAGATGAATTAATATGTGAAGATACAGAAAATCACACAAACACAAAAGTGATTTTAAAAACAGACTGGGTCTTAAAACGGGTCAGTTTTTATTATTGTCAGTAGTTAGTAGCAGTAGTAATAATAATTAACACCTTTCGAGTAGCCTGGTTTCGCCAGAATACCACTAGAGGGCGTAATAAAGTACCCGGATGTCAAATGTGTTCTGTGCTTGGAGTGGGGTTAAATTAACATTGTATGCACCGAATTAACATCATGCGGGAAGCGTATTATTTCCAGATTCGGACATATAGGCATATAAAATGGTTAACTCGTATTGCAATGCTTCTGGTGTTCTTACAGTACAATCCAAAAAAAAAGAAATCTCCGACCTTCGGACGTTACTTCCATTTTATTTAAAGTGCCTGCAAAACGTGAACGGGGTGAATGATTATATGTAAATTAGTCATACTACAAACTTTTTTATATTGTACGTAGGTCAAAAGAGATCAAACTTAAGTTAAATTAAGCCGTAGATTTTATTTTGCTTAATGTGAAACGTTCTCACAATGTCAATGTCTTGTTAATCAATAAGAAAATGTAGGTTTGAATGAATTTCTGTAGACGAAAATCGAAATGGAGTCAGCAGTAATTTGTACCTTTGTGCTTTTATAGAGTTAACTTTTGTAGGTTAAGATATGCAGTTTGTATGCTGTTTTAAGATATGTTAAGAAAAGTAAAAAATTTCTTAGCTAAAACTTCTCATTCTTTTAAATGATTTTACTCGATCATAGCAATAGCAGCGATTAGTTGACCGATCCACACCGAGCATTTGATTCCAATCGCTTACATTTGAATTTTCAATTTATCTTTAGATATATACCAGTATTTAGAATGTGCTCTTTAGTTGTTAATAGTTACTGCTGGCTTTATTTTGCATTAAACCAAATCTGTGTAGAACGGTAGTAGAGTGGTATATTGACATAGTGTCTCCATTTGCTTCATATTTGGTTTTTCGCATTTAATTATATATGAGAACTGGGTTGATAAAAAAAAGGGTTTATTTTACGTTATTAAGTGCATAACGCAATAATTAAAATTTCTCTTTAAGCCTGATGTAGAGTAGAATTTTTCATATTTTATAGCAAATTTAATCATTCTATGAAAATTAATCATGAATGGAATATGATTAAAATAGTGACTAAAATTAACTACCCGTATTGTTGCGATGAATAAATTTGCACATTTCTTTTATTTGAAATAATGAATAAATCACATAGTCAAGTATAATTTTCTGACCATTAACAAACACAATGCAACAAATTCACTATTGATATGCAAAGTAGTGTATGCCGTTGTATATTTCTGACATCAAAATGTTTAATCAAATGAGTACAACTCAGCAGAAACTCATCAGATCTTATCATTTTTTTTGAGTTTGTAGATGTAATATACTTGAACATAACTGTCATAGCGATTGGTGTTAAATCAGGTATTCTAAAACTGTCATTATTTGAATGTAAAAATGCACATAATGTTTTGTTGAAAATGTATAAATATGAATTAACAAACAGTAACCTTTCCAGGTATTCTGTTTCATTCTACATTTTTCTGTTAAAATGTGTATCCCGTTCACTTTCTCGCATTTGACAGTAGTCATGTGTATCTTCAATAAAAGATGTATTTACAAGTCGAATAATCACATGAAGGTTGTATCTAATGTAACATCATGAGCTTTCATAAAATGTATAATTTGATATGGTATAAAACAATTCTTTTCTGAAAATAATAAATTTTACTTCCTGAAAACTTCTACTGCACTCATATCGATTTCATCCCTTTAAAACAACTTTTAATATTGTCATTTATTATGTTGTGTACATATTAGCAATTATCAAACCCTATAGCTTAGTAATTAAGGTAGTGGCTCATTAAAGCAAATGATCATTTTTGCTACATTTGGGGGGGGGGGAGGTCATAAGATTCATGTTCATGGTTGTCACAATTTTATAGGAGAAATATGACAGAACCCCACACCCTCCCTGTGGCTTTCGTTGCGTATGGAAGTAATTTTCAAGAGTGATGCGGTGTATCTTGCGGCCGTACTTTCACGAGCGAAGCAGAATACACCGCCTCTACTGTACATATGTAATATAGTTTATTGCTTATGTAATAATGCTTTAACATCGACCATACAAAATTTGTACCGAAAATGTCACTTGTTGTTTTTTCCCATCAAAATATGCATACATGCACTCTAAATCAATCAATAGGTAACACTTTTGAAACAAAACAAAATGTTGTGATGAATGTTTCAAACCCTGTTTATTAGCTTGATCTTTCTGAAAACTTACTTATTTTAAATAAGCATTCATCACATCGCGTGGAAGAACAATGCAACGATTCATATATAACAAAACATCCATTTCGACCAATATGCCAGGCCTTATCAGCAGCAACCACATATCATTTACTACTGTAGCGTTGTATTTCCATCATGTCGTAGTAACGTTTGATGGGTTTTTATATTGAAGGGGGAAGTTGGGAATTGTTGGGCTAATTATTTTTTTCATCAACTCGGTACCATGTTTTTGTTACAATATAATAGGTGATTTTCCGTACAATTGCGAGATCTTGCGAGATGCATGAAAGGCGCGCAGAGGAATATTGCTTCCGAATACCCTCACTTAATCGAAATTGCCTATCATCAAATGTGGACAGCACATTATTAAGCATGGAAATGTCCCCCAAAATACTTTCGCGTTTGTCGAATCCCACGCGATGTTTGACGCCACTACGACGCTATGACCTTTGTTTGTCCTGTTTTTACGTTCGATTTCACGCATAACGCGTGATTCTCGCAGTGAACGGAAAATGGTCTATTGTGTTTATTGTGTTCATATTCTGTCCTGTATTATTCTTAAGTATTAGCGTTTTATAAAAAAAACAAAATGGCGGCATTAAATCCATTCTTAAAATACATCAAAATATGTATTGTATGAATCAAACTGCATCGGTGAAACACGAAACGGAGAAGCAAGCTTCCTTCAACTTTAATACTCATCCTTTATACGTCCACGATTCATCCAAATATATTAATTTGTTACGTTTTATTCCGCTTTAGATGACAGTGTATAATGTATTTATCACCGGTCTGACCTATGTTGTTTGGGTTATTTTAACTCTGACCTGCTAATTCCTAAATATAATCCCCTGACATTTTAATAATATACATAACATAATATTTATAAATACACCAATAGCTTGAAGAAGTGAATATCGTATTGTTTCATTCTATTTAACGTTCTGGAATGTCGATGATTCTGATGGAAGACGAGATTGCGAAACTCGAGGAAGCATTTAATGAGCACGACACGGACGCAGATGGCGTAATCACTGTAACCGAAGTAGAATCAGTTTTGAAAACCCTTGGTCATACTTTGTCTGAGTCAGAGGTGAGCGACATGGTTGTCGAATACGATCCACACGACACAGGCACAATCAATTTACCAGACTTCATCGATATGATGTCCCTCTATACAAAGTACCTGGTTGACGACACCTTCAAAGAAGGTTTCCAATTGTTCGATTTGGATGGCGATGGTTTTATCTCCCAGGACGAGGTACGCAGAATCCGTGATCACCTCGGCGAAACCACATCGGATGCGGAAATAGAAGAGATGTTTGACGAGGCAGATACTAATAAGGATGGCCTCATCAGTTACATTGAATTTGTGAGAATGATGTTAAAATAAGTTTGTCGTGGTATAGATATATTTCAAGTTTACCGCAGGAACTAAACATATGCCCAGTTCAAGTTGTATTCAGATATTATTCGTTAGAATCGAGGGTAAAATCACCTATGCGAGAATCAAGAAACAAACAAACAAAGAACTGAATATTGAACTGACGAAATACGGAGTATTAAATTGATTACTTGGTAACGTAGCTGTCAATTTGAATAAATAAAACGTTAAATGTTTCCCAAGAGATGGTCTACTGATGTATTGATATACATATCATTCAAAGTTAATTAGGTAGTTGAATCTAATTAGCTTTCATTAAACACACTACGATAACAAATTATTTCGTTTTTTGAGAGAAAAACCTTGAAAAAATTGTGATTTACACAAGGTAATTCAGAACTTTACATTGAGAATATTTTATTCCCATGAATAATTTTCAAATAATTACACACAACAATATTACAGTAAAAAAACATAATTTGCTATATATAATTTTGATGTAAACAACGCGCTAGTTTATTGTTATTGTCAGCACCTAGAAGATCAAAATAAAATGTTATAAGTCTACATAAGTGGATTTTATTCAATATTTTAACAGAGAATATTATTGGCTAGAAAATATTAGTAAGATTTCACGAAGATGGATGAATATAACCGTTGGCCTGTTTGCATTTTCCCTCCATAAACTATATACCCCGAGAGGGTTCAGGCAACCTGCGGACACATGGAAGGTGTTATCCGACAGAATCTCTGTTAAGACACCATAGTAAATAGGCCGTGTGTGCCAATTTACAAACATTTTTTTCTAAAACGATTCTCCCGTTTAAATTATTTAGCACCTTTCAGATCAACAGTAACGTCGAAGTATCAAACCTTCAATATAAAGATTGTGTATTCAATAACTTCAAACCTATCTTTCCTGTTGCATAAATCATATAGAAGAGTTTTCGCCATGGACATACTAAACGAATCTCTTCTTTCAAATACAAATTCATTCATGGACCAAACATTATTATGTATAGCATAGTATAGAAGAATAGCATAGTATAATATCGAAGCAGTCTTCACCACCACTGCTTTCACTCATCGGTCGATAACCCAAGACACACTGATAATGTTGTATTTTATTCTGGACTTCTAAAGAAGGTATTAGAAAAGAACATATTATATTTCTCAATCACCCAATTAGTATTTTTGAGCACGTCAAATATACCATATATTAATATTACATTGTATATTTCAATTGAACAAACAATACACAAAACAATACGACGCGCATGTGCTCTCAACATTTTAACAGACATCTTGCAAGAAGGTGGCAACCCACAAAATAATGTCAGCGATATGTCATTTCAAAAATAAATCTGGCCTTAAATCTAAGTTATACACTAAAATCATACCACAGTCATAAAGTTTGAGGCATTCAACGAAGTTCAACTGAAATTTTAATATTTATGATTTATTATTCACCATATTTATTAATCATTAAATTGCAAAAAGGAAAGATTAGCAGTGCATGGACATAAATCCGACTCAGATATATAAACAAAATCCTGATGGAGCGTGTTTATTTTGCCAACACAATTTTCAAGAATTCATCATAGTCTATTTGACCATCGCCATTTATATCGGCAGCCCTAATTAATTCTTCCACTTCTTCCTCGCCTAGGTTGTTGTCACAACGTCTCAAAAGGCGACGGATTTCGCTGGCAGTAATGTAGCCATTGCCGTCTTTGTCAAACAACCGGAAGGCGGCTTTTATTTCCTCGCCACTGTCAGAGTAGTTCAGCTGTCGTGTCATAATTATCAGGAATTGCAGAAAATGTAGGGAAATATCCTCGGCGTCGGAACCGATCACACTCACGATATCCTTAAACTGGGCTTCTGTCATGTATTCATCTACGGACTGCATGATCGACTTGAGTTCATTCATTGTAATGAGACCGTCACCATTTTTATCGGATAATGAAAACGCCATCCACAACTCGCTGATTTGCTCTTCTGTGAGGTGATCAGGCATTATTGTACGTTAGTAAACATTTATACTGCAACGTGCCTCGGACATAAACATTGCAAAAGTGAGGAATGCTGGTAGATTTTGCGTTTTTGTTTTATAAATACATTTGGAGGATTACATTTTGATTGCCCTTTCAACTACTGCATGGCGGGTTTGTTAATATAGAGCTCGACGGAATAATATTTTTGAATTATATGCTTGTCAGGTATTGGTATGGATGGGAAATGCGAAATAGACAATTATAAACCCTAAGGCAAGTTGAACTATTGAAATTTTTTTCTGTGCAGATTATTTTCTTAAATTAGACAATTCTTTTCTCACCTAAGACTTTTTAACGGTCAACCCCTTAGAGTGTTAGTAAATAATTCAAAATAATTATAACGTTTAGTGACATTGTATGTACCTTTTTAATGATTGTCTAGTTTTCGCACATTGTTTTGTCCTAAAATTACGGACGTTTTTTGTATCATTATTGCTTCTAAAACGCATTAACACCAAACAGATAATGACCGCCCATCACAGAATATTTAAATGACCTGACTCTAAGCATTGGCGGCGCTCTCACTCTGTTTCACTGGGGGAGTATAAATATTACTCTATCATTATGGACTTATATTTATACATTTGAATTATGGAAGCTAGTTTGGCAGTTAGCGTCAAATTAAAACAAAACTAAGCATAGGAACAGTTGTTAACTTACCAATTTGTCTTGCAACATTGGCAAATACTTGCTCCCAATCGTCATTATCTACAGCGCATTTCAAATCAGTACCGTGATCACTTTTGAACACATGTATTGGAAACATTACCACAACTGAGCCTAACATGTGCACCATGACATCAGTCAACGGGCCGGATTGCCAACTGATAGCAAAAATGGGGGGGGGGGACGTTTGAAATGTATTGATGTGTACATTTCAGGTATGGTTCAGTGTCCTTTTCAGAGCAACACAAATTAATTCACCAAACCTCACCTGATGCCAAAACTGCGATTGGAACGTTGACTAAGCCTGTTTATGTTACTTAATGGGAAATATCCAACTGCTTCCAAAACATCTATGACGGTTTCAACTTAAGTATTTTTATCTTTTTGTGTTCTTGTTCTTGTAAGATCTTGTAGTAAAGTTAAGGATCCAGTTTATGTCATATGTGTCACCTGTCTTTCAGCAGACAAGTATTATTTTTTATGACTGCACCATGTTTAACGCTAACTACTTTTGTTCACCTGCATTCTGTGCGATTTTATTTAACTGAGCCTAGCAGGATTGCAAAGCCTTTATTTATTTACAAGCTGTTTGTCTGTTGGTACTAAACATTTGGATACTTATGATAACTTAGAAGCAAAATCAAATCTAAAGCTAACAATTCTTCTATTAATGCTAATTGGAGTTGACAACCTCCTTCTTTAGTTTCCCGTACAAGGTTATGGACAGCAATGATCATGTCATCACTTTCAGTCATCGACTTTTCTATATAGATTTCTATGAGTGTGATGGAGTCATTTTATTAAGCTTATTCCAATGATTTAACGAAATTTGAATGAACATGCAAGGTACTAGGACAGGAGAGAAGGTGCTAGTGTTTTCTTATATTCCATGATTTATTTACTAGAAATCTATGAGTGTGATGGAGTCATTTTATCAAGCTTATTCCAATGATTTAACGAAATTTGAATGAACATTCAAGATACTAGGACAGGAGAGAGGGCGCTAGTGTTTTCTTATATTCCATGATTTATTTACTTGCTAAACATTCTTATTATGTGATAATTTAACATTCAGTTCTACTCTGAAGTAGTCAGAGTTTTCAATTGACAACACAGGCACACAACATGATCAAATCACAGGTCCTTGTAAAATAATACTATATCCAAATAACAAGTTGCCATGACCAGGGTCACATTACCGAATATGACACACACTGCATATTTAAAAATTTGTGGTGAATTGACCAGAAACAAAATGGCTATTGGGTAAAAAGACTGAGCTTATGTGTAATTATCTGGTACAAGACCCAGCTTGGACCATTCACACACTTCCTGCGACAATAGGGCGGGTTTTTGTTCTTTTCAAAGTGAAACAATTTTACTACAGGAGCAGTCCATCGTCTACTAAAAACAAGTATTTTGTTTCGAGTGACATGCCTTGCCAATGACCTATAATAATATGTGAATTGTTCTCCGAATGTACACTGCAGTCGAGATTTGTTTAAGTCACAAAAAACGTGAGTCTAACCCGTGTTGTTGAGTAAATAAGCGGAAATGATTATGCATTTGAATAGAAAAAAAATACAATGGAGATAAGACTTGAAAAACGAGAAACAAAAGATATAAATCAGATTAAAACCGTTTTCCCACATGTCCTAGTACCTTCAATGGTATAAGTGACATCACTTGCTAAATCACGTATTTCATCTTAGACTATGTTCACAATATCAGTAATTTCAAGCTGCTCACAATAACCATTCGAAATAAGCTTTATTCGTGTGCGTACAAATCGATTGTAGTTTTCCCTGCTTCTATTACATGCAAAAATAGATTCCTCCGCAACAATATTTGTTATACATCTTAGAGTCTTGGAGGCCAGCATCTTTGAATCGTATAAAGTATGATAAATATTACAACACTATACTATTTTACTTGTCAGTATGTTTCAATAACACTTGGCCTACAAATCGTATAGGGCTTGGTCAAAGACACATACTATCTGGTCTAGCATAAGTATCTTCGTGATACAAATTGATCTTTCCAATACTTGAAAGACTAGTAGCAGGGGCATTTATGTTGGGAAAGTATGTCACTGTGTCTTGTATGACTTTCTTATAAACTTGAACCAGAATGTTGAATACTGTCCGACCAGCAATACGCTTTTTTTCTCTATAGTTACTTAGTTTTGCTAAAATTCATGCCACATTCTTCATGAGATCTATACTTTTAATAACTTTGACATTGGGTGTGAAGTAACTCCCCCACTCAGCATCTCTTCTAACCTATTAGTATTATCCTATGCTATATTTGTTTGAACATTCTGCAGAAGACTTGTCGAGAGGCTGACATGTTATGATTGTTTTTTTGGCCAGCTTTTCCAAGTATAGAACCATCTCTATCTACCTGTTTTTGTCTTCCATTTGTCACAGCTACTACTATGTCTTGTCAATGTGTCTGACGTTTGTCTTTTACGTTTGGTTTGCATGGTCATTGGCAACTATGTGTAGAATGTAATTTGTTAAGTTCAATGGTGTACACACAGGTTGGTGTGAGAACAGCTCGTCAAACACTTACCAGTGTGGTCCATGAGCTGTATCCATGTATGGTCGATAAGTTTGCTTTCGGATCATCTTCTTTCTGACATATAATGTATAAGTCAATAAATTTTTTTATGATTTCAATAATACATATAGAGCAAATTCTGGAACAAACACACATTTTTATTGTTAATGTAAATGTGAGTGTTAATAATAACATTTATTATTTCTGGTTTCATTAATATTTTAATATTTTAGTAATTACAATTGAACGTGTCATTATTGTGTCAATTAAATAATATTTCACCAGCATATCAACCAGCATATGATCATATCTTATTGATTACACATCTATACAAATTATTGATACATGTGTAATGTGATAGAATTGAAATGGACACACGCCCATAGTTTCTGTATTGGATATGAGAATGTAAAATATTACGACCAATACCACAAGAGATATTGACCTTTGACCTTCATGCGATCTTAAGGGTTTATTGGCTTTTGTTTGCAATTCAACTCGAAGTTTGAAAGTAATATACATAGTAAGCCACATTGTAATCGAAATTCTGTTTTGAAAAACATAAACCTAGCGATTGGAACGTAATTTTAGGATAGAATTCCAATGTTTACACTAATTATGGTCGAAATGGACGATGCGTATTATAATCAGTATTATTATAGTAATACGTTGACAAAAACCGAGAACAAATAATGAATGTTACTGGACGATTTATTTGGATTTTCAGTCGTCAAGTTACTGTAGAATAAATGTAGTTTTGAAATACCTTGAAGAATTCTTTCTGCATTTAGAAGTTATAGTGCATTTATGATCCGTAAATATACAACTGTGGGTGTGTGTTTGCTGCGTGACGTAGCATGACGTAACAACGTGACATGCAGTGACGTGATCTAATCCACTGAAACACATATCAAATTGAAATCATCCACACCAGCAGTTGTGTGGTAAGAAGCCGCGTACTCACGGTAATAGGCGCTAAGACTATTATTACCCAGGCTGTGTTTCGATAGCTTTTAAATATAGCCTTTTCACATTTCATAGATTAAAAATGATTTTGATCACCTCAAACCGTTCACAAATATTGTCGTGGGTTATTCGAATTAAAATGTTTTGATATTGTTTTGTAGCATACATTTAATCTCCATTACATTTGCCATAATATTTCTGGCTTCCAACGAACTTTTTACTGTTCATTCAACATTTCAGCGAAATTGTTAAATTCTACACAATACTTTTTTACATTTTAAACAAATTTCAACTTTATAACGAACTTTTCATCAAGCTTTTAGAACGTTCAAGCACTTTTTTCTCAGCACGGATTTTGACTTTCCCGCCATATTATCGAACGTTCCGGAGACGTTTTTTTTTATTTATTTTAAGTATAATGTTTCAACTTTCCACGTAGTTTTAACGACGTTTCGAAATTTTCGTAGCCTTTTTTCCAACTTATCAATCGAATTTGACTTTCCACCCTTTAATGGACGAGGGTTACATATTCATCACACTGAACTTCAACAGATTAGTATATATTTGTCGCATTCAAACTAATTTTCTGTGAACTGCTGTCCATGCTGCTGACTTGGAGCCGTTTGGTGTCATGAACTCCCGCAATGAATTGTGGACGTAATTAACATCGTGCCGCATACATACAGCCGATTTACTTGTCCGTGTACGCTTTGGACACTTCCAAATTCCATGACAACATGCCACCATCTAGGTAAGATATATATTTCTA